TGGGGATGGCTTGGAGGAGTCTCCCAAAGACACTTCCCAGCAGACAGGGAGGGTTGCGCAGGTATCCTGAAAACAGCAGGCGCCAGGCCGGCACGCAGCGGTCTGTCTTAAGGCGCCGTTTTGGGAAGGCGCTAATAACCTTTCCGGCAGTTCTTACGGACCAAATTAAGCTCCCGGGGGCTGTGTGGAAACCGTTGCAACACGTGTCACAGCTGGCCCGTGTCGGGCACCCACCGCGGGCTGGGTTGAAGCGCGCCCCAGAAGCACCCGTTATGCTGAGCGGAAAGGCAGCCCAGATCACCTGGACCCCATGAGGATGTGGTTGTTGGACCCTATTAACATCCCGGGAATGATGGGAAGAGACCACTGGGCATCGAGACTGCAGACAGCCCTCCAACGTGTCTCTTTTGCAGAGCACCGGTCAGAAAAGCATCCACCCTGCCACCTCGTCCCTGCCAGGAGACATTCGCCGTCCTGCAGCGTGAACGTGGCTCGCGTCGGGGCGAGCGAGCGTGTGCGCAGGTAGGTGGTAGCTATTTCTTGGAGCGACTGGTATCCTCAGCTATTCTGGCTGCAACGGAGCCGTGCCAGCTTTAATCGCCTGGAATGGTACAAACGCTTCTCTCTATGCTCCTGTCCCCGCAGCCAAGCTGCAGGGTGGGCACGGGGCAGGGGTGGGTGCCCTTTCTAAGTCCCAGTCCTGCTCTGCAGAGCTGCTGGGAAAACAAAAACAATCCCAGAAACAAAGCTCCTTGCTGTCCAGGGATCGTTTCTCCTCTGAGCAGGCTGATTCAGTTCGCATTTGGGAGTGGGTGGGAGCGAGGATGCTGGAGCTTGCTGGAAAAGCATATTTGTAGCTTAGCAACAGGGTCAGAGGAAGCCAACCAAATGGAGGGATTGCGGAGAGCCTCTCCTGGCAGCCAGGTATCCACGCCTGACTGCTTCCAGCAAACCTCTCCGCCTGCGCCACGCAAAGCCTGTCAAAGGCAGAAACCGCCTCCCTGTTGCCACTCCTCATCCTCCCTCCAGCCTCGCCGCTGCCAAGCGCCGCGATGCAGTGTGTTATTTACGTTTGGGGGAGGGGGGGTTTAGCTTCATTTCAAAAGATTATTGGGTTTCATGATTTTTTTTGAGCTCGCGTTAATATAATAACAGATTGCAGGTGATTATCACCGTCATTGTTTCTGTTGGCAGGGCACGGCAGAGACACGAAACGCGTTTGGTTCCCTCCACCTCGCAGCCAGGGAAGGACTCAACCGCTCTCGCTTGTGCTGGCGTTAGCCCTGGTCCGCTCGCCGATTGACTTCCCCTGCCAAAGCAGCCGCGGCCATTTCTGCCCCTGCTCTGCTCAGACTACTACGGCGTTTCGAGACCACCAAGGAGGCCAAGTTATGAGCTGACACGAGCCTGGGATAATCTGAAGGTTGCTTTCCCCTCCCTGACTAAAAGCATAGGGCAGGGCTGGCTGCTTCTGAATTCCCTGATGTCACAGAATCATGGAATGGTTTGGGTTGGAAGGGACCTTAAAGACCATCTAGTTCCAACTCCCCTGCCATGGGCAGGGCCACCTTCCACTAGACCAGGTTGCTCCAAGCCTCATCCAGCCTGGCCTTGAAGACATCCAGGGATGGGGCATCCACAGCTTCTCTGGGCAACCTGTTCCAGTGCTTCACCACCCTCTCTGTGAAGAATTTCTTCCTGATATCTAATCTAAACCTCCCTGATTTCAATTTGTACCATGTCTTAGCTCGCCAACACGGACACTGTGGGATGGACCTGTTGGACCGACTGAAATCACAACCCCTCGCTCCTTGTCTTGATGCTGATGGGATGGTGTCCAGGGAGGGAGCACGCCCTTCATTTATACACCAGTGCATCAGTCGTGCCCTCATCTAGAAAAATGGGGGGTGTGTGTGAGGGGGGGGTCAACAAACTAAGCACTATGCACCTACTCGCTTGCATCAACCAGCTTCCCATGGCCGAATGTTTTGCTCAGCTCCCTGGTCCGGCCTGCACCCATCTGCATCTCGCAGCCCCTGTTCCGTGCAGAGGCAGGAGAAAACGCTTGCTTTGGCACCGCATATGCGCGGTCTTCCACGTTTGCCAGCAGAAGCATCCCAGAAATAGGATGACCTGGGAGGGGAGGGGTCTCTGCAAACTGAGCAGCTCAAATCTGGCTGTCTGACAACCTACAAAAGCTGCTTCCTTTTTACAGTTCCCTCGTTTTAACACCCTCTTGCCCATGCTGACTCCGACAAGGGCTCTCCGCGCAGCAGTTGCAGGTTCGGCTCCTCTCCCCCCGGTGAGACGCCAGCGTATCCTGGCAGGGGCTGGAGTCCTGCCTGCGGCAGCTGGTGCATAAGCAGCTTTGCAACTCCGAAGCTTCTGTTTTAGCTCCAATTACTAATCCTGCTGCACTTCTAAATGCTTATGCCTGGCTTATTTCTAATTTGTGAGGCCTTTGTGCCTTAACCTCTGCTCAGAGGAAACGCTTGCCCTTCTCCCCTTTGATAGCAAGGATGTCCTGGGATATGTGTCATCTAAGAAGTGACTCCTGCTCCGTGCCCGGCCAGAAGATGAATCACTTCTGGGTTTGTGCTCGGGAAGAGATGTTTTGCTGAGCCCAGCCTGGCAATAGGTCAGTGAACTCCCTTTCACTGCAGCCACAGCGTTTGAGAACTGGCAGCTTGTACAGCTCTTCACGCCACAGGGTAGCCCTCCACCCTGAGCCCCCCGCCTCTCGAAAGAAGAGAAACAGCCCTTGATTTGCCACTTTGCATGTTGCTTTAGTAGTTCTGTGGTGCTTTGTCTCATCTTTGGCCTTCTTGAGGCTTAGAAAAGCCCAAAGAAACCCCCGAGGCCAGTGGAATCGCAGGCTCTGGGGTGCTAGGAAGCCAGAGGTCAAGCTGGTTTTTCCGAGCCTGGGGTTTGTGTGTCAGCAGCCCGTTAAGCTTTGCTTTTTTATCTTTTATATTTAAAAAAAAAAAAAAAAAGAGCTACACCGCTCTCTTTAGCCCTGAAATAGTAGTGCTAAAGCAAGCCGTCAGGAACCGCAGGGATTTGCCTGTCATCCCGGAGACAGGGCTCGGCTGCGAAACGCCGTGCTGCTTCCCAGCACAGTGCCTGCAAGTCCAGAACCTGCTTTACTGGGAATCAGGCGCCAGTTGGCAGCGTCCTCTCACCCAGCTTCAGCTGCCTAAACGTTAGGCGCCTAGGCTGTCTGTAGACCAAGGGACGCGAGAGAAATTCCACCCAGAATGGTTACCAGCCTGGCTCCAGGAAAGGCAAAACGAAATCAAGCTCCGCTACACCTAAGCCTCCTCCAGCGTGCTGGATGATGGCAGATTTCATCAGCAAAGCGAGGCAGCTCTGGGGCTGGCATCTTTTATTGTTATTTTTGATAATAAGATCCCTGGGCTCCTTCATACGAGGAGGAAAACACCTGCCAAGGATGGGCAAGGCACGCCAGTACTAGCTGGGCGAAAGGCGGCTGCTGTCTACGCAGGGAGAGCCTCCAAGGACTCTTAAGATTTCCTCCGAAGTTTAGAGAGCTGAGACAAACACTAAAACAGGAATAAACCCTTGTTACAGCACAGGAGGAGTGATGGTAATCGTAGCTGTTGAAGCAACGAGTGAGGGTTTCTTCCAGGCCGTTTGGCAGACGGCAGCTCCGATGGTGCCTGCAGCCGAGCACCGCCAGCTCTGCCCCTCCGTCCCGTTTGTTTTTATCCTTGAACTGTTGTGTAGCAACTCAGGAGTCTTACTGGGAATACAAGGGACAGCTGGCTTACAAATACAATTGTAGCATAATTAATTTAAGCATTAACAATCCATTCTTATCTGTTATCGCAGGGTACAAGCTCTGTCTCTCTGCCATGGAAACCATAGTGCAGGTTACCTAGGAATCCCTCTGGGATCTATTAAGTGTAATTACTAAGGACTTGGATCAGCAAAAAAATATATATGCATTGTTTTCCAGCCTCAGCACTGCGGAAAGTGCTGAAAACTTAGCAGCTCCGTGACATTTGTGCTGAATTGTCACATAATTGCCAGGAACAGGCTGCTGCGAAACGGTTAAGGAGCATTTAGCAAAAGAAACATAAGGGATTCGCTTGGCTTTCTCCAGCGGATTACAGCATCTCCCATGAC